TCACAGGTTCCTGGCAGTAGGAAGAAGCCTGGTGTCTGTTTTAGGGAGAGGGTTCAACCCAATCTGACAAATCCATCCTGCACTGATGTTTTGCCCCTTCTTCCAGGACACTCGCTGCCTTTTTCCCGAGGAGCAGAGTGGAAAGGCTGTGGGGGCTCGTTCTGAGTGGCACCTTGCAAAGCCAAACCACTGCAGCTGCAGTGGCTGCTGAGCACTGGATTCTCTGAGCCCTGGGCCCCTCAGCTCAGTGTCCCTGATCAGCCAAAGCTGTGAGCGTCCCGTGCTGACGGCGCAACTGCAAATCACATTCTTGAGAATGGATTTTCTTTGTCTCACTTCATGCCTGACATAACCAGTGCACTGAGGAGGTGACAAACAGGACACCTCAAACCCTGTGCTTGGCACAAGGTGCAGAGCAAATAGGTTTTTAAAATTGATCCCTCTTGGAACCAGAGCATTTGCCAGACGTGGTCTCCCTCGGGGAACATGAGCTTTTTTTTCTAAGCAATTGCTTGGGGTGAGTTAATTTTTATCGCTTGGGGTGAACCCACCTGTTGTGGCTGCAAGTTTGGTGATGGCTCTTTGTAAATAAAGTCCTTGGAGAAGCAGGACTGGCTGATGAGATGGGGAGAGAATGTATTTTTATGCAACTTTTGAGTGGCCTTTCAAACCCTGAGATGAATGATTTGTTTTACTGGTTGTTGTTATATAGTATTATAAGTATTATGTGTTTGAAAGTTTGGGAATAATATTCACAGCTATGATGCTTGTAAACACAACAGTATTTATAAATGAATAAAGTAAGAGTTGATAAAATAGAAGCTTTGACTTTGCTTCCATCTTTCTGAAATTACAAGTTGTTTGTGCTAAAATTCCCTGTTTCTCCCAAAATTCTTGTGACGTAACAATGTCCATCATCCCTAAAAGCACAAAAGTTTTGCAGCTACAACACAGGTGCCTTTTCAGGGGAAGCTGAAATGAAGGAACTGGGATGCACATCCCTGAAAAGCACCCACCAGTGGGAAGGGAAAACAGGAGAGGGTCCCATCTCCTCCACAACATCACACTGGGGATCAGGCCCGTTTCCCACTCTGGTGGCAAGCCCTGGTTTTGCTCTGCTCACAAGTTTGGTCAGCACAAAGTGTGGCACAGACAGGAGGTGGTGTCACATCTGGGAACCTCTGTCTTGGGTGAGACTGCAGGAATCTCCACGTGTTCCAGTGTTCAGAGGTGGTTGGTGCAGGCTGAGTTCTTCCCTTAGGGCTGGTGGAGCAGGATGTGACTGTGGGCCAGACTCAGTGTGCTGGGGGTGAAGAATTCTGTGGGGCCTTTGGTATTTCCCACCAGTGCCCCAGGTCTGGTCCAGCCTCGCTCAGCTGGGGTTTGAGGTTGCCCAGAGCACAAGTCAGAAGGAGCTGAGGGGCTCAGCCTGGAGAAAAGGAGGCTCAGGGGGCCTTTCTGGCTCTGCACAACTCCTGACAGGAGGGGATGTTGGGCTCTGCTCCCTGGGAACAGGGACAGGACAAGAGGAAATGGCCTCAGGTTGTGCCAGGGGAGGTTTAGGTTGGATACTGGGGAGAAATTCTTCCCTGAAAAGGTTGTCAGGGCCTGGCACAGCTGCCCAGGGCAGCAGCGAAATCGCCATCCCTGGAAGTGTTCAAGTGGTTGTGAATGTGACACCTGGGGCATGGTTCAGTGGGAAACGTGGCAGTGCTGGGTTAGTGGTTGAACTCCACGATCTTAGAGGGCCTTTCCAACCTAAGTGATTTCATGATTCTGTGTTTTGGGGGACCTGGGCCCTTGTGGGGTTCCACCCACACCTCCATCCCTCCACTGTCCCTGGGATCACTGCCCTGGCTCTTGCCCCTCATGCCCCGTGAGCCCCAGCAGCAAGACCAGAAGGGAGCCAGCTCCTTTCAGCTCGTTTCTTTAATAAGGAGACGTAAATCATTACAAAATAACCATCAAACGATCAGAGACGGAACGACAGAGTCCACACGAGGGGAAGGGGCATTAAAAGCAGCTTCCGCCGGAGCCGAGCGCTGCGGGGCTGGCGCGGCCCGAGCGGGGCCGGCACCGCCGCCCAAGGGTGGCCGAGCCTGCGACTCCAGAGGAGCCGCTCCTCCCTCCCAGCCCGGCAGAGAAAAGGAAAGGAGCCCGAGCCTGTTGCCGGGACTCGTGGGTTCATTTCCTTTGGTACCCCCGGGAGCATCTCCGTGGCACAGCCGGGTTTGCTCCGCGGGGCCGCCAGGAGAGGGAAGTGCCAGCCCTCGTCCCCAAAACAGAAACCGCCGGCTGGGCATGGCAGAAATAACCCGAATTGCTCTGAAAAGCCTTTTCACCACCGGCAGGTCGAGCCCCACATCCGTGCCCAGCGCTGTCCGTCCCTGGCCCGGGTGACAGCGGCACCCCAGGGCAGCGAGCCCGAGCCCCGCGGGCCGGGGGACACACGGGGGAAGGGTCACGGCTCAGCGCGGGCTGTCCCCGCGGGGTCCCGCTGCACCGTGCTCTAATATGGCTTCTAAAGTTGCTCTGACGGTGAAATGCACCAACGCGACACAGGACACCGAAGCCACGATGTTGCTGCTACCCGGCCATGGGACAAACGCGACAAGACACAGGAACACGACACACATGGACGCCACGGCCGCGGCGGTGATGGCTCACTCTCCGCTGGCGGGTCGGGCTTGGCATGCTTTGCTTCTTGGCATTATTTTCTTCTTTTATATGATTTAATCGGGGATTTTCATTTTAATTGGGGGGAAAAGAATCAGGGCAGTGGAGAGCTCTCGAGCGATGGGGTTTGGTCGTCGCCTCCTCCGTGGCGGAGCCGGAGATGGGGCCATGCTGCTGCTGCTGCTGCTGCTGCTGCTGCTGCTGCTACGTGGCTGCATCACATGCACTGCTCGTGGTATATACAGCTATGTCTCCATATAATTTACCTACACACAGCTAAGGGGCGGGTCAGAGGCAGCGCAGATGGCTTCAGGATGTTGGTTGGTTTTCCCTTTTTTATTAAAAAAAAAAATAAATCATGTATTAAAGTCACAGTCTTCCCCCTCCCCAAAGGCTTAGAGAGTCTGAATGGAAAGCAGCCAGGTGGGATCGGCGCTCCTGGCCTGGATCCCCGGACCCCGGCCGATGCGGTGGGTCTGGGGGCGGGGGGAGCACAGGAGGGGGTGCACCTGGGGTGTGCAGGTGTGATGTGCAGATGTGCAGATGTGCAGATGTGCAGGTGTGCAGGTGTGCAGGTGTGATGTGCGGGTGTACAGGTGTGCAGGTGTGCAGGTGTACAGGTGTGATGTGCAGATGTGCAGGTGCACAGGTGTGCAGGTGAACACATCTCCACCTGCTTCCCTGGGAAGGCTGCAGGGCCAAGCACATTCACTGGCTGCAAACAAGGATTTCAGTGCTTTTTCTAATTCCTCCTCTTTTAACCCATTCCATGTAAGGCAAATGCCCCCACACACCCCACACTCCCTCTCCCCCAATGCCTGGATGGACCCCAAAATGAGACTGAGTCCTACCAGTGCTCCTGACCATGGGACATCAGCCCCCCTCCAGCTCCCCATTATTAAAAGCATCCCAAGACTTCTTCTCCCTTTGGCTACAGGGGCAGGGCAGGACCCCATCTGTTGACACTGACACATCCATTAGGAAAAGGGACTAATTAAAGCTGGAGATGGCCCTGAGAGAGCACTGACTCCATGACCCCTGCAGACCCAGCATGGCCCCAGTGCCCCCTTCACCAGGGCATGGCCAAGTGCAGCTGCAGTGGTGGTGGAGGTGGTCATTGGAGGTCCCTGTCCAACATCCCCTTCCCACACTGCAGCTCGGCCACCCGAGCCCCAAACCTGCCACAGATGGAGATGTCCTGCCCTGGGGACCTGTCCCAGAGCTGCACAACCCTCCAGGGACGGGGGCTGGTCCCCGTGTTCATTTGAACCCCTTGAGCCAAGTTTCAAACCTGGTGACTGTCACCAAGTGTCCCATCATCTCCCCACCTCTGGGGAGGGCCAGGAAGGGGAAGTCTGACTTTGGGAAGTCAGAGCTGTGGGAGCTGCTAAAGCATCCAACAGCTCTGGGATGAGCTCAGTTTTGGCACTGTGTCCCTGGGCCTCGGTCCCAGCCCAGCTGTTGAACCCCCAGAGCAGCGTCCCCAGTGCCAGCACATCCCTGGGGCTCAACCCTTCAGTGCTGCAGGGCTGGAACCCCCAGCACTGAGCCCAGGGACGCCAAAGGGAGCGGAGTGTGAGGCTGCTGTGGGGCTGGAGCTGGGACAGGGACACGAGCTAACATCAGTGCTCCAGTACAGACTGGGCAGGGCTGCTGGACCCTCTTCCAGCTGCAGAGAACTGTGTTGGCTTTCTGGCTCGGGGGCTTTTCTGGGACAGTGGGAGACAGTAGCCTAGAGAAGCTCTTAGCCACTGTCAGGGTCATGGATATGGCTTATACCCCCAAGGGGAGCAGGATGGGGTGGGTTTAACAGCCAATGGCCTGGTGGGGAGTAGCAGCTCATGGGGGTTGGGAGCTGTGGTCCCTTGTTGGCCCCAGGCTTGCTCTTGCCATCCCCACCCACAGCAGGTGGGGCTGGAGCTCCCCGTGGCCCCCTGGCTGCCCTGAGGCTGGGGTGCCCACAGCAATGACGGGACATGTGATGGACAGTCCCTGGGGAGATACCTGGTGCAGCTCTGGGGAGCTGCCCCCATCCCATCTGGAGACCTGTCATTGTAAATCTGCCTCATGGAAGTATTTTGATCTATGGGATTCACCAAGCATGGTGGGACACAGATGCAAATCACCCAGCTCTGCCCCTCTGGAGACAAAACAGAGCTTGTGGAGCTGCTGGTGGTGGTGATCCACACAGTGCTGCTGGTGCATCCACGTCACACTGTGTCTCCTTGGAGCAGCCCTCCTGAGGCTCCCTGTGCCCAGACTGGCCTCCACAGCTCCTGCTGCAACACTGAGGGCTCGGCACCCCACCAGCACAGCAGGATCCATGGCCTCTGCAAGCCTCTCCTCAGAGAACCCAAGCCTGGAGCTGGCCAGGGGCCCTCAGCCTTCCTTGGGGAGGGCCAGGGGGAGGCATCTGGGTCTCTTCAGAGGATCTTTGCACAATTTTTCTGTCTCACTGCCGGTGATGCCCAACCAAGCACAGTGGGTCTGGTCATCTCACACCATCAGGCTCCAGCATCACCTCCACGCAACGTTCCACGGTTCCCCACGTGATCCCAAGGGCAGGATGGTGGCAGCAATGCTGCAGGCTGGTGACACAGCTGCTGGGGAAGGTCCCAGGTGTGCTGCTGGCTTTGCTCTGGGAAGGGATGGCGAGCAGAGGCAATGGGACATGCAGCAGAAGGGAGCGATGCCGAAGAACAAAAAGAACCATCCATGTCTTTAACCTCTTCCCCTGGAAGCGATTGGGACTGCCTGGATACCCTTCCAGAGGCATCGAAGGGCATTTCAGCTTGGAACAGAACAAAAACCAAAAGGAAGGGTGCAGAACTGAGGTATCAGAGCTCTGGGTGAGCTGTCCGCAGACTATTTGTTCTTGCCGAGAGCCGCATCCACCTCCTCCTCGGGCTTGAGCGAGTGCCACTGCGCGATGGGCCGCCGCGGGTTGGCCAGCATGTCGGACCAGTGCCGCAGCTCCGTGCCCGTCGAGTTCAAGCCCGTGAAGATCTTGCCGATGGCCTCGTTTTTCCCCAGCTTGTCGTAGTCCAGCACTGTGATGACCACTTGCACTTTCTAAAGGAGGAAACTTTGTTTAGAGGGGTGGGAAAGTGCAGTGGCCATGACAGCTCCATAGGCCCAGGGATCCCCCAAGGATGAGCCCCAAGAAGAAGCAATGAAAATCTCTAACAAATGTGAAGAAAACATTCTTAAATCATCTTTTTAAGATAGTGATCTTCCCCTTTTAGAATCCAAACTGCTGCTGGATATTGTATCTGAGAAAATCTCAGTTTTCTTGTATCAGGTTTTACTATAACTACATTCGGCCCCCTCCCTGCTTCCTTCACGTCCTTCTCTGAGGAGTGCAGAGCCCAGTGGGGGCCCAGCTCATCCTGATCTGATTCACCTGGGAAAGGTCACCAAGGTGTGGTGTGGGGCTGGGCAAGAGCTGTGGGCTGCTGGGCAGAACCAAGGGGCAGATGCAGGGCCTTGCACAGGACATGGAGGGGCAGAAGGCAAGGGCCAAGAGTCCAAAATGCCCCCAGGACCATCCTGTTATGCTTAGGGTGAGCACTGTAGGATCAGGAGCAGAGGAAAGCCCAATTTCAGCTGTGATCTGGGTTGGGGTTCATCTCCCATGGGTGCTGCCCCCATACCAGCTGCCCTCACCATCAGCCCAGGCCCCAGATGAGACTGGAAGAGTCTCCTGGGTGACCAGACCAGGAGCTCAGCAGGAGCAGCCCAGGCTGCTGGAGGGCTGGGATGAGGGCTCAGGCAGCTTTAGGACATCTTCCACCCCAGGGGAGTCATCAGACAAACCTGTATCTGCTCAAAGGGGATCTCAAAGCTGAAGGACTCATTGAAGTAGGGGTTCAGGGTCTTCTTCTTGACTGTGGTCTTCTTCTTCTTCAACCTCTTGCCATTCTGCAGCAGGTGGATCTTCACGTAGGGATCTGGGGGTCAGGATGGGACATTAGCCAGGGCTGGGGTGCCCTGGGGATACCCCTGGGACACCTCCTGCTCACAGGAGACATCACAACCCAGGGTGAGGGAGAGACTGCCCTGAGTACAGACAGTCTGAGGTTTGTGGATGGATGCCAAAGACAAAATGGTTGGGCTGGAGAAGATTTGTGGGAGCAAGTGGCCAAGGGATGGAGCTCTTCTGCGTCCAGCAGAACTGGGGAAGGGTCTGGAGAGTCAGGAGAGTGAGGAGAGGCTGAAGGAGCTGGGGAGCTCAGCCTGGAGAAAAGGAGGCTCAGGGGGACCCTCTCATTCTCCACAACTCCCTGACAGGAGGGGGCAGCCAGGGGAGGTTGGGCTCTGCACCCATGGAACAAGGGACAGGAAAAGAGGAAACAGCCTCAAGCTGAGACAGGGGAGGTTCAGGTTGGACATCAGGAAGAATTTGTTTATGGAAAGGATGGTCAGGCACTGGAATTGCCCAGAGAGGTGGTGGAGTGCCCATCCTTGGAGCTGCCCAAGCAACGCCTGGTGGACACGGCACTCAGTGCTCTGGTCTGGGTGACAAGGTGAGGACCAGGCACAAGTCGATGGTCCTGGAGGTTTTTTCCAACAGTAATGATTCTGGGATTCTGTGCTGTGGGCCCCTTGTAGGAAGGCAGGGACAGCAGAGTGACAACTGGCCTGTCAGGTGAGTGACACTGGGTGGGCTCTGGCCTGACCCCTGTTTCTGGAGCAGGAAAGCCCACAACAAAGCTGAATCCTTTCAGCCATGCAGGTACTGCTCTTGTCATGGTTAAAGCACATCTAGAGAGAGCTGAGGACCCCTGGGCACAGAGCTGAGCCCCAGGATGGGCTGGGAAGACACTTTAAGCACAAAACATGCTGGCAACCAAGGTCCCCGGCCACGAGGTCAAGGAGGAGCAGGAGCAAATGGCAGAGGACACTTTCACCACCCAGGTCCTGCAGCATCCTGGGGGCCATGTTTGAAGTTTCCTTCCCAAGAGTCAGGGATGCATCCCATGCCCATCTCCCCTCATCCCCAGCCAGACCTGGGGCTGCCTGCAAGGCACGAGGAGGCCCTGGGGGCTCTCCCAAGCTCTGCCAGACAGGAGACCCCAGAGTCCTTTCCCACAGAGGACCCTGAGAGCCCCCAGCAGGGCAGGGGGAGGCTGCCCCTGAGCAACACCCACCTGAGAGGCCCCCAACATCCATCTTCTTCAGGTTCTTGGCTTCCAGGATGCAGACAGTGAGCTTCCCGGCCGTGGGCACGTACCGCAGGGAGATGCAGATGTCTCCCAGCTTCTCTGGCTGCCAAGCACAGCAAGGAGGGGAGATCAGAGCCTCACCAGTGCCTGGGACTCTAGTGGTTGGACACAATCACACATGCAGGTCCCCCCAGACCCTGCTCAGCCCAGGCACAAGCTGGCACCTTTTGCACCAACACAAGGGTTTGATCACCAAGTCCAGGACAAGCTAGGCCCAGCACAGCACTCAAGACATTTTATAGTCTTGATTTTTTTGTTATAGAAACATTTTCACAGAGAGGAACAACAGGTCAGATCCCAGTAATGACTGCCAGGATGTTCGTGGTACCCTGGTGGGACCCCACAGTGGGTGGGACCCCGAGCTGTGGATGGCCCTGGAAGCAGAGCTCACCCATGGCCAGCCCCATGCCAGGCCCCCAGCCAGGTTCAGCTGTGGGCTGCTCTCACCTCCTCCTTCTCCCCACTCTGCAGGTCCCGCCACTCCTCGATGGGCTGGCCCAGGTCCACGGTGTTCATGGGCACCTTCACCTCCCCGATGATGTCATGCTTGGAGAAGCGGTCAAAGTCGTAGATGGCCATCACCAGCGTCTTCCCACCCAGCTCCTGGTAGGGCACCTGCACAAAGGGACAGCAACCAGGCTGCAAGGGGGGCTCTGAGCCAGGACCACCTGCTCCTGGAAGGGAGAGTCAGCACACGGGGCTGCTACAGCCAGGGGAAGGACTGGAGGGGGAGACAAGGTCCTTGTTATGGATGCAGGGCTCACCTTGAAGGTGAAGGTCTCATTGAAGGCAGGGTTGAGGGTCTTCTTCTGCACTTTGGTCTCATACTTTTTCTTCTTGTCAGGGAGCAGGAACACTTTGACATAAGGGTCTGAGGTGCCACCCATGTCCAAAGCTGGCAGTTCAGCAGCTTGGAGGATCCCCACTGTGAGCTGGAAGGGCAGAGGAGACCTCAGTGAGAGAGCCCAGCCATGCCCTGCAGCTGCCAAGGGCTCATCTCCAGTCCAGCATGGGGCAGGACTTCCTCTGACACAGCACCCAGCTCCTCCTCCCCTCGTGAGCCTCCCAGGTCCAGCACAGACCTGTCCTCCTCTCAACTCCCCCCCAGGCAAAGCCCACTCCTCAGCTGAGCCCCAGCCCCTCCATCACCTGGTTTGCCTGGAAATCATAGTCCAGTGAGAACTGCAGCTTGCCCAGGTTCTCTGGCTCCTTCTCCTCTTCCTCACCTTCCCCCTCTGTCAGACCCGTCTCTGCGTCATCGTCGTCCTGTTGGTCCTGCAATGGCAGCCAGGTGCAGCTCAGCAGGACAGACAGAGCCCCACGGCCCCAGCCCCACAGCCCCGGGCACCCCAGCACCCCAACCCTCCTCGTGTCCCAACAGCCAGGGTCTCCCCACCACAGGGAAGGGGACCCACCTGCTGGGGACAGGAAGCACGGACAGAGTAGGGGGTGGCACTGGGGATAGCACTGAGGTGGCACTGGGGATAGCACTGGGGCTGGCACTGGGATGGTACTGGGGTGGCACTGGGCTGGCACTGGGGGTGGCACTGAAGTGGCACTGGGGCTGGCACTGGGGCTGGCACTGGGATGGTACTGGGGTGGCACTGGGCTGGCACTGGGGGTGGCACTGAGGTGGCACTGGGGCTGGCACTGGGGCTGGCACTGGGATGGTACTGGGGTGGCACTGGGGGTAGCACTGAGGGTGGCACTGGGGTGGCACTGGGGTGGCACTGGGGGTAGCACTGAGGGTGGCACTGGGGTGGCACTGGCTGTGCCACAGCCACCCAGCTGCCAGGGAGGCCCCAGTGCTGGTCCAGCCAAAATGAGAGGGGGGCTGCCAGGGGTGCCAGGACAAGAGATTGACTGCAGAGGAGGGAGGTTTGGTGCTTGCAGCTGGTGGGTCCTGTGCCCCCAGCCTGTGCTTGGAGGAGCACCACAGCCAGAGCTAAGGGCTTGTCAGGGCCATTTCCAGGCCTTGTATGCTCAGAAATAGATTGTCCCCAGGAAATCCACCCCTCTTGCTGCCTCTCCAAGCACAGTCCATGGGGTGGGAGCCCCAGCTCCTTGCCCTCTCTTTGATGTGTCCCCAGTCCCCCATCCCACCCAGAGGCAGATGATGAAGGAGGCTCATGGTGACACTTACGTGGAGGGTGTCCCCAAGCAGAGGCAGCCAGGGCAGGACAGCGAGGGCACCGTGGGCAAAGAGAGACACAGACACTGAGTTACACAGACACTGAGTTACACCAACACTGAGTTACACCAACACTGTGTTACACAGACACTGAGTTACACTGAGGGACCTGGCAGGGTGGGGGATCAGGGCTTGTGCCACCTGGGGAATCACACCTCACACCTGCCCCCTCTCCTGCTCCAGCCCTATCTGCACGCCCATGGTGCCCACATGGCTCTGAAGAGCAGGAACAGATACCCAAATTCTCCCACCCCCTCCAAATGCCCATGGGTCACGGCCATTGAAAAGGCTGGGGTGGCCCCAAGCCTGTGGGTACCAAAGCCTGCCTTGGGCTGGCCACCAGGATGAGTTACCAGCACCTGCCACTTCACCACAGACATTCTGGGGATCCCAAACTGCCCGGTGTTCTGGCCTGGTGGGCCTCCCCTCTCAGCTAAAGGCTCAGAGAAATGAGTCTGACCCAGAGGGAGGTGGGATTAAATCAACATTTCCTGGCTCAGGTGGAGCATTGGCAGGTCCAGGCCAGCTTGAGCCTGGTCCATCTGGGCCACCAGACACTGGAAGAGGACAGTGCTGCTGTCCCAGGTCCTGGCTCCACTGTCCCATCCCGGGGTCCTGGTGGCTCCATTGCAATCTGCTGCCTGGTCTATGAGTGCCCTGACGCAGCCCATAACTCAGCCAGAGGGGCTGTTGGCCAAGCAGCCCAGGAGGACATCACCTGGTTGCCTGACTTCATGTCCTTCATGTTCATGGCATTCTTCATGCCTTTGCCCTTCTCCTTCTTGTTCTTCTTCTTCTTGCAGCAGCACTTCTTGCAGATGCAGAAGCAGCAGGTGAGGATGAGGAGTCCAGCCACGACAGCGATGGCGATGAGGGCCCAGGGTGGCACTGTGGGCAAAGGCCATGTCCTGGTCAGCCCTGCAGCTCCCTGCCAGCCACCCAAACCTGGTTCCACAGCTTCTGCTGGGACCAGCACGGTGGGGAGACCATCAGGAGGGTGACACCTGGCAAGGAGCTACTCACAGGGGATCTTGTTGAGCTCATTCATGAACTTGTCCCTCAGCTTGGTGAACATGTCCTCCTTGCTCTCGCCCGGCCCCGCAGCCTCCGTGGAGTTCTCCATGGTGCTCATGGGCAGCGTGCTGGCCGTGGCCTCCGGGGCCATCATGGATGCTTGCTTGAAGGTCATGGTGGGCCAGGGGCTCCCTGGAACACATCACCCACAGTCACACAGCCCTGCTGCCCCCATTCCTGCCCACGGTCCCCAGGACAGCGCCTGCAGCAGGGCTGCACCAGGACACCTCATCTTCTGCTGGAGGGGCACAGACCCAATGGCTGTGAGAGGTCACCTGGATCCCCCACAAGCCATGGGAAGCCCAGCTGGCCTCTGGGTTTCCCAGTCCTTGACATCTCCAAAGCCACTGGGAGCATCACCCAGCCCTGCATCAATGATGGTGCCAGCTCTGAGCCTCCTGGGGACAATGGGGACACTCCTGGGAGGACTTCACCTGGCAAGGCCCCTTGGGATGTGACGAGGGGGTTTGCATCCCCAGGAGAGAAGAATGAGATCAGTTGGGACAAATCCAGCCCTCCCATCTCCTCCTTTTCTCAGGCATGGGGCACCCACAGGGACCCAACACTGGTGTGGGACCTCAGGACATGCTCCCAGCCCCAGGGTAGCTTCCAAGTCTGGGAACAGCAGCAAAACTGCTCTTCTGCCAGCCCCCAGGGAGCTTTGGCAGGGCACGTTTTGAGGATGGATGGAAGCAGGGAAGAGCTGGCTCTACACAGCAGTGGCAGGTTCAGTGTGCAGGTCAGTGGGTCCACCCACATGTCACAGGTACCTTGTCCCGAGTGCCACATCTCCCAACCCCACAGGGCTGTCCTGGCCAGCTCTGCTCCTCCATGGAGCCAGGGAAGGGGTTCAGGTCACAAACAGCCCAACAGGCTCTGCACCCCCTCCCCAGCCCAGCTGGGTCTGAGCACCCACCAAGGATGGGCACAGCCATCAGCCTGTAAATGTGGCTTTGACTCCTGCAGGCAAACCTGGTACAAAGTACCCCCAGAACCCCAGCTCCAGCCCCAAAGGGCCTCCACAACCCCATCAGAAAGCAGCTTGCAAGAGAAGAGCAAAGCAGGGAAGAATGCCAGGGAATGCACAGTGCCAGTGGGGTTCAGGAGAACACCAGGCTCTGCAGCAGGGGAGGCAGAGACAGCAGGATCACAGACAACCCAGGAAGGAGTTTCTGGGGGCAGCTGAGCTGTGGCTTGAGTGCACCCCCTTCCTTGCATTTCTTCTTTCCTCCTCACACTCAGAAGCCTCTTGGCCAGAGCACCATCCCCTGGGGCCAGGTGCTCCTCTCCTTTCCTGCAGAACTCAGAAAGGAGTGTTCTCACCTCAAAAAAGGCAGCCAGAGAGATCTGGGGGTATTGCTGCCCCAGACTGACACTGCCTCGTGTCTCTATCCACCTCGCAGGTGAATCAAGCACTGAATTACCCAGAGTGTGGCTCCACCCCTGGACACCTTCCTCCTGCACCCCTGCTCTGGGGGAACGTGGTGTGGGGACCTAGGGGGGCCCCCCATGAGGCAGAGACAGTCGTTCACACAACAAAATGTGATTATGTGACCCCCACCTAGACAAGGTCGCTGCTGCAGCTTTGTCACCCTTGGCCACAGTCACCTTCCCACCCACTGAGGGACTGTCATAGCCCAAACACCAGATCAGCATCACCTAGCCCTGAAACCTGGCACTGGGGGCTGCAGCAGGAGGCTGGAGGTCCCCCATAACCCCATCCTTATTGGGATGAGCCAGGAGCTGCTGCATTTAACCCCTATATTGGGGAAGATGAAACAGGAAAGCCTTATAAATATGATTGCCTGGCAAAAGAGTTTGAGAATATGGAAACTACAAGCGAGATTGAAATGAAAGCAAGCTTTGAGATACCTCAGTTATTGAACAATAGGAAAACAATGGTGTGGCCAGCTGAAGGTGATCCCCTTTTGATGGAACAACACCCTCTGCTTGCAGACAGGCCCAAGGGTCAGAGCAGACCCTACAGCTTGGCAGAAGGGGCCCAAAGAGGAGTTTTTAGGGTTTAAAATGTAACATAGTGTGGTAATGTAATGATTCTTATAGGCTGTGTGTAAATGCTATAGGATTTGTATCTTGTACTAGATTGGTTAGTGAGAATGAGAATATTCAGCACAGAAGAAGATTTATGGTATTGTAATAGGAACCTTGCTCTCTTAGTCTCTTACCCTCTCATCTTCTCTCTCTCATCCTCTCTGCCCCTCTCTTCTCTCAGTCCTGCTCCAGCTGTGGCTGGCAGCTCCCAGCAGGGCCCTGCACCCAGGCCCTTTGCAGTAACCCACAAGTTCCAAGCCCTGGCTGCAGAGATCTCTTGTCTCCATCCGTCCTGACTCTCCTGTCTCCTGTAGCTCCTACACCCCTAGCCAGATGAGGATTATTTGATCTTGAAGGCCTCGAAGGTTCCCCAAAGCTTCCAGCAGCTGAGATCTGGATGTGTGTGTGGGTCTGTCCCCACCACTCCAGGGGTTTGTCCCCATCACTACCCATGTGCACCAGGGTGGGTGGGAGGAGAGCCAGGGTTTGGAAACCAGGGACAAATGGGTGGGGTCCAGTCCACTGACACCCTGCAAGCTCCCCAGAAAACAGGAGGTGGGGGACCCCAGGGCTGCCCCCCACCACAACAAACCCCAAGGCACCCGCCTGCACCCAAACCTGCCACACAATGTGGGCAGCACCCACAGGGGGCACCTGGCTGAGCTGTTTCTCCTCCCTCGGGCGCTCAGGCCAGCACTGCCCGGGGTGATCCAGCAGGGCCCCGCTGCCATCCGGGACAGGATGATCTCAGGGTACCACAGGCGGGCATGGGCAGAGCGAGGCATGCCGGGGTGTCTGTGCACTGCGAGCGTGCAGGGGTGGGCATCAGTGTGCAAGGGCCGGTGCGTGTGCATGGGGAGTGTCTGTGTGTGTGCATGGGGAGAGTGTGTGTGTGTGTGTGTGTGCGCATAGGGAGTGTCTGTGTGTGTGCACGGGGAGTGTCTGTGCATGTGCATGGGGAGTGTCTGTGTGTGTGCACAGAGAGTGTCTGTGTGTCTGCACACTGGGGGAAATGGAGGTCCAGGTGTGGCCATGCACTTGTGCAAACAGGCGTGCATGGGACATGCAGATGTGTGAAGGTGTGAATGGTTGTGCAAGGTGTATCCACAGGATACAGGGGTGTGTGTGTGTGTGTGTGCGTGCATGTGCAAACGTGCACAGGATATGGGGGTGTGTGTGTGAACGTGCACAGGGCATGGGGATGTGTGTGTGTGTATGTGTGCATATGTGTGTGTGTGTGTGTGTGTGTGTGTGTGTGCATGTGTGTGTGTGTGTGAATGCTCATGCTCGGGCGTGCACCCATAGCTATGCACAGGTGCGAGCACAGCTGCCCAGGGCCGTGTGAGAGTGCCCGAGGCCGTGTGTGAGTGTACACGCAGGCAGTGTGTGCCCAGGGCTGTGTGTGAGTGCACATACAGGCAGTGTGTGACTGGAGCTGTGTGTGAGGACACATACAGACAGTGCACACACAGGCAATGTGTGCCCAGGGCTGTGTGTGAGTGTACACGCAGGCAGTGTGTGACTGGTGCTGTGTGTGAGTGCCTGGGGCTGTGTGTGAGTGCACATACAGGCAGTGTGTGCCCGGGGCCGTGTGTGAGTGCCCGGGGCTGTGTGTGAGTGCACATACAGGCAGTCTGTGCCTGGGGCTGTATGTGAGTGCACACACAGGCAGTGTGTGCCCGGGGCTGTCCCCGGGGCCATGCACACCCGCCCGGGCTGTGTCACCTGTCCCCTCAGGCAGGGCCCGTGTGGCTGTGCCAGCACCCAGCCGTGTGTGTGCGGGTGCCGCAGCCTGTGCAAGGCTTGCACACACCCGCACAGCCCCGAGTGCCAGCTGGGTGCCAGGGGGGCTGTGGGGCACAGATGCAGCCCATACCCTTATCCAGGGAACTACTGCTTCAGGGGCTGCTGCGGGAACTCTGCGGGGCTGCCCGGGGCTGGGGGCTGCAGGCAGCATCAGGCCTCGCTGGAGGGGCTGCTTTTGACCCGGGCAACCTAATTAGCATCACTAATTGCTCCCGTGTGGTGCTCAGCGGGCGCTGGCAGAGCTGAGGCCGGGGCTGCCTGCGGGAGCCAGGCAATGGAGGCCCTGTTGCTGCTCCCCTCAGCCGAGCGCCCCACAGGCCCTGCCATGGGGCGGGGGCTGATCCTGCCCTCAGGCGGGGGCACCAGGCTTTGATCTGCCCCTGGCATGGGCAGGGCAGGGCAGGGCAGTGCCGTGGGGCAGCCGGGGAGGGACGGGAGGCTGGGAGGGACGGGAGAGGGGCACTCTGTGGGGCACGGAGAGCAGCCAGGGGGGCACTGTGATCTCGGGGATGCCCCCTCAGCTCCAGGTCCCATCCCCGCGGTGCCTCCCTGGGTGTCCCCGGGCACACCCCGTGTCCCCAGCAGGCACAGGCGGGCAGCCCCAGCCCTCAGCTGCGGGGGCAGAGCTGCTGCCAGCCCCGGGCTCGGGTTCTCAGGGGTGGGGCCCGTCCCGGCCGCCTGTCCCAGCCCCGGCCCCTTCCCCGGCGGCGGGCGGGGGCCGTGCGGGCACGGCTGCGGCACTGCATTGCAGTCCTGCTCCGGCTCCGCTGCCTGCTTGGTTTTTTTTTTTTTTCCATTCCTTTTGCAATTTTTTCCCCTCCTCTTTGCAAGTTGCGGCAGCCGCTGGCGAGGAGCCGAGGGCCGGCGGTGCGGGCGGGAAGGGAGCTCGGCCCCCGCAATCCCCACCGCACCCCGAACCCCGCTGGGCTGCCCCTGCCGAGGACTCGCTGCCGTTCTTCAAGTTTCCTCTTTATTCTGCCTGGTTTGGAGTTGTTCCCTGCCATCCCCCACTGCTCCCGTCCCCCCCTGCCAAGATCGCAGGTTAGGGACAAAGAAAATATGAGGGTTATAATTAACCATTTCTATCAGTCCTTGGCCGAAGAACGAGCATGGGTTAAGGCATGATGAATAAATTCTGGCTGGGAAGGGGCCCCTTGCTGCCTTGCTGGTCCCTGGGGATGCCCCAGCCCCTCTGTGGGGTGCAGCATCCATCAGGGGAGGGTGATGGGAATGCATCCCATGGGAATGCACTGCATCCCTCCTCCCACAAAATA